CTAGAGTACGGGAAGGGGTTAACAATATACAGGCAGAATATATAGTCTTTGCCTTTGATATGCCAGTGTCAGATATCGATTGTTGCTTTTCGTTAAAATAAATATACCATTATTAGATGCTCTGTTTAACATGCCGATCCGTATCCTTATAATTTTTTTAGAATCTTCAACGCGTAATTCGCGTCAAACTTTGCCGTACGGAGAAACAATCCCGTACAAAATTCAACCGAACCTACGAGGATAATTCGACCTACGTGAAAGTAATTCTTCAACATTCATATTCTAGAGATTACATGCACGCAACGAATCTTTATCGCGACATGTCGCTGCTCTCATGCCCAATTAACATCCAATGAGTTGGTTTATGATAACGATGTAGAGCGGAGAGAAGCTGATTATTGATTATGCTTGTATAGCCTATAAAACCAGCTCAGGTCATTTTACGTGTTAAATGTACAATATGTGCGTGACGTTCTATCCGATTTTGCCGATAATATAAAATTTGTGAGATCTAATTATCTTGTTGAAATGTATATTGAGTGGTTATTCTGTATCTATAATCTTCGTGAGTAAAATCGTATTTATATAAAATTGGAATATGCTCGTTTAAAAGTCTTATGGGTCTCGACTTTGAATAGGTTATGCATATTAACGAAGCATTACGTTTCTATTCATTATTGTACTTCATAATAGAAATTGTGCAGTTAATAAGTTAAATTTTGCAAAAATTCCCTATACAATGTTGCATTTTTGCAAATAAAAGCGTAAATTTATTATTTATCATTGTTATTTTGCCAAACGCTAATTACGAAGCAAAATACTGCAATTAAAAAAAAAATGTAGCTTCGACAACTGACATTTAACTTTATACAGCCATTGGTGGAGGATGCATCGATACGTCAGTCACGTACTGGGCCCGATAAACGATCGAGACTAGACAAAATTTTCCTACATTCGCGTGGTTGTGGTTACGCTATCGGATTCATCGTTATGTTGGCCAAAATGGAAGCGATGGACGAAGCAGGAAGTCCCAGAAGATAAAAAAGGATATCTCGTGGCTGCACGAAACGTGAGAAATGAAATGCGTAAACCGTATGGAACGAGAATCGAAATGTAATTGAGTTCTCCGACGAGAGGAGTTCATGAAACATATCAATGTTTAACAGGTGTAGGTGACAGTCGAAGAGGAATCAAGTTACACTCTTTAAAAATTGTATTTCAAGCGTCTATTTTGATGGATACGACGAATAACTGGGCAGAGTTATTATCAACGTTTCGTATTGAATGTTTTAAAGGTTCTGTAGAGCCATCCCTTGTTTTAAATATGCCTTGTATTGTGAATATCTGTGTCGTTTTATATCTTTAAATATCCTATAAATAAAAATGGATATATAAATAAATAGAAAACATTAATGCACTTATCGAGCTTTAAATTTACTAATTAGTATTCTGTGATGTTATAATAAATAAAATTTTATATCATGGGAGTTAATGCTATGTCATATATGTATAATATCGCTATCAGAGTATCGCAGGTGCAGATAGCGACACGAAGAACGGCAATGAAAATCTGACAGATCGTTTCGTGAATATTACATAATGCGGCATGGAGTCACTGCATGAGGTATGCAGGTTTGCTATGCGGAAGCACTGCACGTGTGTTTCACTGAATTGCTCTAACAGCAAAAATTTGAACACTTAAATATCTCCGACATATCCTTATGAAAAAAATTTGACGTAGTTATACTATCTAAAGGGGTATATGTAACGATAGGTTAACCTTTTCATAATAAGAATAAAATATAGTTTTGAAATAAGATTTTATTTAAATTATGATAAGTTTTGATTAAGAAAATTCGTTCGGCATTACACAACCAGGTTTATATTATAAATTAAAAGATGAGAAGATATACCCTTCTTAGAGCTTTATCATATAAACCCTATATCTATTCATAAATCCTACAGGACTAGCTATCCAAACGTTCTTGTTGCGATATCGATTCTGCCATCCTATAATTTTATGGTTATCCGCTTACATTCTGTATCATACCCGGCGATAGGTCTAACAACAACAACAAAATAAAGTATTGTATATACATTGCAGATAGACTGGGATTCTCACGTTTGGTACACGTCATGTTTTACGGGGTTAGTCGAAAAACTGTGGAATTAACTGAACCACAAATTTGTGAAAAATACTGAGCGAAGCCGTGTGGCGGCATTAAAATCGTGCGAATCGTTTTCCAAATCCATACCGGCATGTAAAATTGGCTGATGGGCAACTGGAACGTAATCACTGAAAAAATAAAGCGCGTGACAATATAGCATGGATACTTAATGAGGAATAATGTATTTAATTCCGTATACGATACAATTACAACGACATTTTAAAGAGTGCGCTGTCAGAAAAATACACGCAATGAAACTCATACTATTAACCCAATGAATATGCGATTAAATACCTACTATTGAAATTACGATTTAATAATTTAATTATATTTTATCAAAGTAATTAATAAAAACGTGTTCAATAAACTCTAGTTAATTTATGAATTAAGTAATATATTTATGTTGCTTCATATACGTATAATATATACAAAAAATATATTTTATAATAATAAACAATTTTTTGAAAGTAGAACTTCATATAAAATTATCTTTCTTAAAATGGTAGTTAGCTACATTTCTTTGCATAAAATAATTTTTGTTATCGTTAGCTTTGTCATCGAAAGAATAATTAATGCGCATACGTTTACGGAAAATATCGTTTATGCAGTTCCACTAATACCCTCCTAAATCGCATTGTGTGTGTTTCCGAACAATCCTGGAATTTTACGCGCGAAAATATTCCAGTTACTAAAAACTATCCGAATATAAATAACTTTATAACAAAATGCGTTTTTAATTTCATTGGTAAATCAGGTAAACAAAATTCGCTAGACGTACGTAGACTTTCGTGACTAATATAATCGTCATTTAGCAATGACGATAATTTCTACCTACGTTTCAAACATTACAATTGAATATCCACCGAAGAGAGTACTTTGACTTTTCCTGTATTTTCCAGCGTTCCGTTTATAAGGATACAACTCAAAAGGGATATCGATTTGTCACGGTGTACAACTGATCGTACTTCCTAACCATTGGATTCGGAGCAAACTAACCTCTCGACGGAAGTCGAACTCTGTTAATTAATACATGCAGCGCACAGCTACCCGGCGTATTGGAGGCAACGAACCATAGCCGAGAATAAGAAGTGAATGAGAAAAAGCGTCGTTTGTCGTTAATGACGCTCATTATCGCATTTCCACCGGAGTTTTCATTATCACTGCTGAAGCATAGGGTGTAATCTCGTGACGATTAACAAGCGGCGTTTTGTGTTCTAGTGCCGTCTTAATAGGGTAAACGTGTGCCAAAAGTGATGCGAAATTGACTGAATATTTGTTACATGGAACAATACTTGCGTCTGTTTTGATAACTTGTTAGTACTACTAAAATCAATCAGATCAGGATCTTATTTTGAATTTAGTGGTATGTTAACATTTGAAATTACGTAGGAAATTGTGAAATACGTATACATTTCGTAAAAAGAGAAATTAAATCAATCCTACAAAAATTATTGCCATAATCCGATAATGTAATTTTTGGTGACACAGTTCCGTAAGAATATAGAAGTTAATTTGGATGGTTATTTTAAGAGATGCAAGATTTTGTAGGGCACTTAAAGAGTCTGAAAAAATAAGTAAGTACTTACTTACGTTGTAGTTTTATAGCGTATAATATTTCAACCTCCCGCACCGATTTCAATTGAAAAGTTGAGAAAATACCACTCCACTTCAGCCAATCAGGAATCAGCTAGGAAAGCATTTAGCGGGACGAAACACCAATTTCGTGTCGGAAAGCATGGTGCATCCATGTCATTTTGTTTTAAGTGGGTGATGTCATCTATGTACTAATTTTTCACCTTTCATAGATTCCTTTGCTTAATACACGTTTATTTAATAGTTCGCCAGAGAGTATTATATCGGAATTAAACAATTTCTCGAAATTATTTCGTTTGTGTTACGTGTGTTCGTACTCCTACTTGACTGCCCGAATCACCAATAGCTTACACTCTAACCTTTAACCGAGACACAATTTCAGTATAGATAACACTTTATTTTAACACAAATGGTGGTTTCTTTTATACAAAACACTGATCGATTGTGAAGATCACATTATTTATAATGATCTCGCTTCTCTTCATAACCTTTTCCTTTTCGACCATATGTAGTGAACGTGTAGTGAAATACATATCCTTGAGTATAGTTTATGCGTGCTCGACTTGCCGGCGAGTCTCCTCTGCCCCACTCCGCTTCCCGAAATTCGCTAGGCAAACCGCGGTGCGGAGATGCATTCTAGTGTTGATGTTCAGAGCGATAAGCTGGTACATACATATGTATAATAACGAGTTTCGAACTTGTAATTTGACCTTAGTCATGGTTTAATTTTTGTTCTAATAATTTTGTTCTATAATTTGTTCTATCAATACATTTATTTTAATGTTTTCGTCTTCTATTGCGTAGATTATTGCTTGATTGCGAGGAAAACTTCGAGGAATTGGAGGGACGCCATGAAACTCAAAAGGACGCCATGATAGATGATGAATCCGATACCGTTTATGGATATTTGGTAACATTTAATTTATTTTAAAATAATGGAAAGCATATTTGAATAAGATATTGAAATACTTTTTACATTTTGCTACATACGTATGTCGCGAATTCCCAGTAATAATGCTGTTGGTCACTTTTTTCGATAATCACAGACACGTTCTGCGCATTGCATTCTTTTGGTATTGCGCAGCTGTGTTTAACCGACGAAGAAAGCACGCCATATTTTATTATTTCGAAGTACATGTCTCTCTGTACATCTTTAATGACGAGACATTCAGAGTAAAATTTTTACAAATCAATTACATTACTTGCCGGTGAGCCCCCCCACTTCTTGCAAATCGAAGTTCGTTGGTAAATCGCGGCGCGGGGTGTCATTCTAGTGTGGATAATCGAAGCGATTAGATGTGTGTCCGTGTATCTTTACGATTAGTGCCGATCTTTCTACTACGTAGTATGTACTTTCATAATCACTCTTTCACTCCATAAATACACTAGTGTTAACTTCGTTTAATTAACGTACGTTTTCTTTGCACGTACTTCGAGGTATTACAGGAACGCCATGAAACTCAAACGGACGCCATAATTGATGATGAATCCGATACCTTTTATGGATATTTGGATTATGGATGGTAATATTTAATTTATTTTAAAATAATAGAAAGCATATTTGAATAAGATATTGAAATACTTTTTACATTTTGCTACATACGTATGTCGCGAATTCCCAGTAATAATGCTGTTGGTCACTTTTTTCGATAATCACAGACACGTTCTGCGCATTGCATTCTTTTGGTATTGCGCAGCTGTGTTTAACCGACGAAGAAAGCACGCCATATTTTATTATTTCGAAGTACATGTCTCTCTGTACATCTTTAATGACGAGACATTCAGAGTAAAATTTTTACAAATCAATTACATTACTTGCCGGTGAGCCCCCCCACTTCTTGCAAATCGAAGTTCGTTGGTAAATCGCGGCGCGGGGTGTCATTCTAGTGTGGATAATCGAAGCGATTAGATGTGTGTCCGTGTATCTTTACGATTAGTGCCGATCTTTCTACTACGTAGTATGTACTTTCATAATCACTCTTTCACTCCATAAATACACTAGTGTTAACTTCGTTTAATTAACGTACGTTTTCTTTGCACGTACTTCGAGGTATTACAGGAACGCCATGAAACTCAAACGGACGCCATAATTGATGATGAATCCGATACCTTTTATGGATATTTGGATTATGGATGGTAATATTTAATTTATTTTAAAATAATAGAAAGCATATTTTAATAAGATTTTGAAATACTTTTTACATTTTGCTACATACGTATGTCGTGAATTTCCAGTAATAATGCTGTTAGTCACTTTTTTCAATAATCACAGACACGTTCTGCGCATCGCATTTTTTTGGTATTGCGCAGCTGTGTTTAACCGACGAAGAAAGCACGCCATATTTTATTATTTCGAAGTACGTCTCTCTGTACATCTCTAACGATGAGACATTCAGAGTAAAATTTTTACAAATCAATTATATTACGGAATATTCATAGGTATTTCCCGATATTAAGAAATATTTTACTATCCATAATAATATTTAAGTATATTAATTAAATAATATTTAACTTGGTTTAGATGTCATTAAAGTCATTTCTAAGTTTTTATTTTTTATATCAGAATTCCAATTTTTATAGTAACTAGTCTTTATGAGAATTTCAGTTCTTCTTATTGTCAAGTTCGAAGAGCTTTATTTCTCATTGTCCTAAATTTTTTAAACAATCAACAGTATGATGTTAAGAACAAATCGACGTCAATCTTTTGTTATTTCACACATTTTAAAGAATTAATATTGTCTTTATGGACAAATCGTAATATTCTATGCTTTGTTACAGATTTCTTCCAGTCTTCGTCTCTTGCAGTGGGATTCGGTGATTCCTATTTACTGACGGTCTTCATAATGACTTCTCCTGAACCACAACGACATCGATGATAACGTTCTTGGCGTTTAATGGTGAGTCGCATGCATTTTTGTTCTTTTGGTCACTCAGTCGTGTCTCGTAGGATGGAAGGTCCGAATCGACACGGGTGGCTGGCTGTATTACATAGAATTTTTGGCGAGCATAGTGCACGTCTCGTTGTGATTGATCCCGAGTTCAATTTTATCCGTCCAAGGATATCAAATTTCACGTGCAAGAAAACACCTCGCGACAGGCAAATCTCGCTACTTCTTTGTTCTCAAAGAATATGTTTTGATGAAGGGATTGCCTGAGAATATTTCTATTAAATATTTCATTTGAAATCAATTATTATTCGTTCAATTTCATATTATTTTCATTGGATTTTATCCTCTTTTTCAGTAAGTACATTTATTCTTGACCTTTTTTACTTAAATATTTTTTATTCAAGAGTTTGTTTTAGTCATTAATTTATAAAACTATTATAGCAAAGTAAAAAATAGAATCACCAAAAGAGAAGTGAAATGAGGAGATGGTACATCTAGGAATGACCCGTTATAACATAGATATGTTAAACATCTTTTAGGATTTTCGGGTTTAAGGCTTATCATGCTTATTACGAGGATTTCATTCAAGTAGTCATATTGTTCGCGTGCTCGGCAATTTGTCATAAAAGCGAGCAACTACAAATGGTTTTCTATGGTTCTCTGGATCATTCACAGTATGAGATGTCAATCTTGTTACTACTTTGTTACTATGCTCATTTTTAGTATTAGTAGTAGTAATAGTAATACGTAGTTCTTGGTCGATGTATGCGTTGAAACATCTAATTCTAGTATGCAAATTGCAAGAGTAACTAATCACGTTTACCGTGTTTGAAATTAGTGTTGCGAAAAAATGTCATGGGACATACTTCATGCACTATTTATTTACAAAATAACCTTATTAAAATTAAAGACCTTATTTAATTTTAAATCGAGTATCTTGTGTAGTAATTCTTTTATTATCAAATTATACATCAAATCGCCCTGTATCTTAGCCGTTTCGTTTTATCGATAAAATACAAAAGAATGTACTTGAATATCAAACGTGATATAACGATGTAGTAAGAGGAGCGAACAAGTCGAGACAGAGGGAGTCAGGGTGTTACATCATTGTAAGGTAACAAGACTTTTAAGAGCTGCTCGAGCACAGTTTCGAGTGCAATTTAAATCTCAAGGCTGGAGAAAAATTATTCTCTACATGCTTGAGCCAGTGTGTCGAAGAAGATTCATCCAGTAATAATGCTGTTAGTCACTTTTTTCAATAATCACAAACACGTTCTGCGCATCGCATTTTTTTGGTATTGCGCAGCTGTGTTTAACCGACGAAGAAAGCACGCCATATTTTATTATTTCGAAGTACGTCTCTCTGTACATCTCTAACGATGAGACATTCAGAGTAAAATTTTTACAAATCAATTATATTACGGAATATTCATAGGTATTTCCCGATATTAAGAAATATTTTACTATCCATAATAATATTTAAGTATATTAATTAAATAAAAAGATATTTAACTTGGTTTAGATGTCATTAAAGTCATTTCTAAGTTTTTATTTTTTATATCATAATTCCAATTTTTATAGTAACTAGTCTTTATGAGAATTTCAGTTCTTATTGTCAAGTTCGAAGAGTTTTATTTCTCATTGTCCTAAATTTTTTAAACAATCAACAGTATGATGTCAAGAACAAATTATAATATTTAACATGTTCTGTTAAAGTCTTTACTCCTCTTTCTTCGTTTAATCGACGTCAATCTTTTGTTATTTCACACATTTTAAAGAATTAATAATGTCTTTATGGACAAATCGTAATATTCTATACTTTGTTACAGATTTCTTCCAGTCTTCGTCTCTTGCAGTGGGATTCGGTGATTCCTATTTACTGACGGTCTTCATAATGACTTCTCCTGAACCACAACAACATCGATGATAACGTTCTTGGCGTTTAATGGTGAGTCGCATGCATTTTTGTTCTTTTGGTCACTCAGTCGTGTCTCGTAGGATGGAAGGTCCGAATCGACACGGGTGGCTGGCTGTATTACATAGAATTTTTGGCGAGCATAGTGCACGTCTCGTTGTGATTGATCCCGAGTTCAATTTTATCCGTCCAAGGATATCAAATTTCACGTGCAAGAAAACACCTCGCGACAGGCAAATCTCGCTACTTCTTTGTTCTCAAAGAATATGTTTTGATGAAGGGATTGCCTGAGAATATTTCTATTAAATATTTCATTTGAAATCAATTATTATTCGTTCAATTTCATATTATTTTCATTGGATTTTATCCTCTTTTTCAGTAAGTACATTTATTCTTGACCTTTTTTACTTAAATATTTTTTATTCAAGAGTTTGTTTTAGTCATTAATTTATAAAACTATTATAGCAAAGTAAAAAATAGAATCACCAAAAGAGAAGTGAAATGAGGAGATGGTACATCTAGGAATGACCCGTTATAACATAGATATGTTAAACATCTTTTAGGATTTTCGGGTTTAAGGCTTATCATGCTTATTACGAGGATTTCATTCAAGTAGTCATATTGTTCGCGTGCTCGGCAATTTGTCATAAAAGCGAGCAACTACAAATGGTTTTCTATGGTTCTCTGGATCATTCACAGTATGAGATGTCAATCTTGTTACTACTTTGTTACTATGCTCATTTTTAGTATTAGTAGTAGTAATAGTAATACGTAGTTCTTGGTCGATGTATGCGTTGAAACATCTAATTCTAGTATGCAAATTGCAAGAGTAACTAATCACGTTTACCGTGTTTGAAATTAGTGTTGCGAAAAAATGTCATGGGACATACTTCATGCACTATTTATTTACAAAATAACCTTATTAAAATTAAAGACCTTATTTAATTTTAAATCGAGTATCTTGTGTAGTAATTCTTTTATTATCAAATTATACATCAAATCGCCCTGTATCTTAGCCGTTTCGTTTTATCGATAAAATACAAAAGAATGTACTTGAATATCAAACGTGATATAACGATGTAGTAAGAGGAGCGAACAAGTCGAGACAGAGGGAGTCAGGGTGTTACATCATTGTAAGGTAACAAGACTTTTAAGAGCTGCTCGAGCACAGTTTCGAGTGCAATTTAAATCTCAAGGCTGGAGAAAAATTATTCTCTACATGCTTGAGCCAGTGTGTCGAAGAAGATTCAAGAGATTTGTCATTCTACGCGAAAATAGAGCATTCGTAGCCAAAGTAGTACGAGGTATCGCGATCGAGTCGATGTAACAGTTTCCTACGTAGAACGCATGAAAACTTCTGTGAGATTTCTTATGCTGGAAATGCGCGTTGTCCGAACTAAAAGGGATGATCTTCGACCTTTTCCCTCGCTTCCATTTTCTTTCTCTCTTTCGTTTTCTGTCTGTTCTTTAGAGAGGTCCACGATAAATGAGATTACGACTTGTCGTTTCACGGGCGTTATCGGAACGCGGAAAACGATGCTTCCGTACAAGGAGTACTAGGAATAGAGGACGTCGTCGAAGCTTAATCCAAACTCGATTTCCAACGAGTGGAGAATCGGTCGGCGATCGATCGTGGAGAACAAGCCCCCATAACAGTCTAGGGGACCATCGCATCGTTTAAATCGCAAACGGGGCTACGATAATTGAAAATCGAGCGGCGGTCGTTTTTGTTTACTTAAGTATTTTTTATTCAAGAGTTTATTTTAGTCATTAATTTATCAAATTATTTAAGTATATTATAAAGTAGTGTCATTAATTATGTTCTGCTGTGTCTGAAGTTGAATTAAACAGACGTTAATTTTTAATTTGATATTATTTCGGTGTGTAACTGTCGCGAATAATCGAAATAGCTTTTTGTTGATATACGAACAATAATTTTTATTGAATTTATTTTACCAATTAGTGTTGCAATACTCTGTTATTTTGTCGTTTTTTGAGCTATGTATATAAAATCAGCCATGTAAAATAACCAAAATTCTTCATTAGTAATTAATTAACAATACCAGTACATTAGTAATTACCATATGCATAATTAAGAGTGGTATTTAAGTAGATAAAGTAATGTGAAGTAGATAAACAGAGAATAAGTAGATATACATATAATTAAGTAGATAGTGCAATTCGTTGTGGTACATATTTCACTTTTTTTATTTTATCTATCAGTTGCTTTACATTTTCTTAACAATGAAATTATAAAATAATTATTGATACACAAAACAGTGTCTCATGTGGATCTATTAGTTAAGTTTATTTCTATGCTTAGTTTCCCGCGCAGGTTTTCCTTAAAGTTTCTTTTGTTGTTCATTTTGCACAATGATCAAAAGATTAGACGTTTTGTAAAGGGGAATTTATTTATAAATTGATATTATAAATGAATAACTTTTTACGCGTAAAGGGAAAGTAAATGGGACGTGGATTAGGGTGAGTCTCCATGCGCAGCAACCTCCACACGGTAAGACCTGAATAATCGGTATTACACGTTTGATATATTTTAATTGCATCATACATTGATAAATGCATTGTGTGATACAATTATAAATTAAATGACAAGTACCGTAAGTTGATTGAATTCTTCGTAACTTCATAGTAAGATTTCATTTTAATTCGAACCATAACTAATGCCGTGATTCTCTTCTATAAATCATTGAAAAATTCATTAGTTACCTGGCATGCGTTTATACTATACCTACTATTCATTTTAATAAAGAATTGGCGTTGCTTTTACGATAACACAGTGCAATCGATACAAGTCTTTGGTTTCTTCGAACGAGTACAGACGTTCTATCCAGCGCTTTGTCGAATCAATTATTTTCGCGCAGGTTCGTGAACTCTGAATGGCGAGAATTCCTCCAAGAACCAGACCGCTTTGCCATGAATTATACCGTACAAGAAGTGGAAGGAAAAGAGAAAGAGGAGTGAAAAGGTGAGGGAGGGATCGGGCGATTCAAGCGGCCGCAATAAAAGCGCATGAAAATAGAATGTCCCAGACGGTTTCGCGAGAGTGAAGAGTTCCTGCGAAGTTCGCAGTAATA